TGTGGCCTCGCAAAATGCTCCATGTGCACGTCTGAAATTTAAAACCGCCCCCAAATCCTCTCTCTATGATTGTACTATTTCCATCGTTCAGTTTGTTTTTACTGTGATCCTCTTCCCACTTCAAAATTTCCTTTTCCCTACAGGTTTCAGTGCTTCAAGTCTAACCCCCGAAAAATGTTTGCATTGCTAACTTTGTGGAGATTCTGTATCAGTTGTTTTGTGTACATTTGTTTTAACCTCAATGGTTTTGCCTTTGTTTTAACCTTTTTCAAGTAAACAAGGAAGACATTTGTTATTGGAAGAAATGGCTTTAGGTAGCAGCTGCTTTGAGCAGTTTATTATTTATGGTGTAAAAGCCTTGCTTCCTCACCACAAGGAAAACACTTTTGTTAGTTATACTCTTTTTACACACTTGTCTTCTCACTGGGCTGGCTTTGTGACTTTAATTAGTTTTCCCTTTTTTGGCATTATTAAGAACAAGGTTTTTTCTCTCCTTCAATCCTGGTCACCTTTCATGTTTCCACATAGGATTTAAATTGTGCTTTGATTCATTAGCAAAATGACACTGAAATTGAAGGACACTTTGAACAAAAACTTTGTTCTGGTTCTGTGGAATATCCTTTCCTATAGACCTCTGCTTTTCCTGCTCCTTCCTGTGCTCCCAGCTCCTGCAGATAGCAATATGCTACTCATGTGCCTCTTAAATCTCTAATATTTTCCAGGTGAGAAGAAAAGTGAAGGAAATTGCAGGTCTGTTAAAGGGAGCTGAGAGAGAAGAACGTGTGTTGGCAAAGCCAAACAGGCCTGGGGGGGCTGCAGAAAACAGGGTCAAAGAGATGGAAAACGTTTCTCCTTTCCTATTCCCTGTGTAAATGTGCTCATGCTGCTGAGTAAATGGGGTACTGATAAATTCTTTTGAGTTGCTAAAGGCTTTTTGCAGTTCAGTTCCTGAAGTTCACAGTTCAAGCTTTTCCATGCACCCCAAAGCAAATGTCCAACTTAAACTTGCAGCTTTCTTACCCTTATTTATAAACTTACAGTTTCCTCGAACAAAAATTCTATTAGCAGAAGTGCATGTATCCCTTTAAATGCTTAGAAAACAAAGCAGCCAGCTTATCTTCAAACAAAAAATGGGTTAATTTACCCAGCAATAAGCATAATTTTAAAAAAACCCTTCAGATTCTGTAAACCCACAGTAGAAAAGAAACCTTTTTTTTTTTTTTGGTTTCACAGATTTGTTATCACAGATGTTCTTAACCTAAATATATGGATATGCAAAAACAATACTGTTTAAAATATGTATAAACTTCCTTTATTTATGTCTGACACTGATTTTATTCTGACTCCAGGTTTCAAGCAGCTGGAAATGCTAACTGCAGGGCTCAGTGTGCTCCCCTGCTGCTCCCCATGCCTTCCTTGGCAGCAGGAGAGCTCAGCCTGGTTTTTGGGGGTGCATCTAACATTTTGTGAAGACAGCTGACAATTATATTTAGAAAGATTTCCCAGCAGTGAATGTGACACTGAGTTTAGCTTGGTTCAATGTGCCATTCATAGAGGAACCACCGGCCCAGGGCTATGAAGGTGGGGAGTCACAAAAGGCAGAAATGGGGAGTGGCAAATCCACTTTTCCCTGTCTCCATGTGTGCTGGGAATATCAAGGTGTGGCCTGGGCAGGCTGTGAACTCACAAACACTGGCAGAAATCCGTAGGAAAGCTCTGCAGCCACTCCAGGCTGCCGTTCCTCCCTGCCCACGCCTCCTTTGTGTGAGCTGCTGTCATTCCCTGTGCAATGCTCTCCTGGAAAGATGGCATGGCATGGTGGTTTGGAGCTGCTGGAATGGGAACTGCAGTGGCTGAAGGGAATATTCCAAATGTCGCCATTTATCAGCATCATGGGATGATTTCAGTTTGTGCATTTCTTCTTTTTTGTGCCCAACAGAAAAAACAGGTCCTGCCTCTTCTCCTCCAGCTGGCAGATGGCTGTAGGTAGGATTTTAGTGAGGAGGTTGTCTTTGGGATACAGAGAGGCATATCCAGCTAAAGGCCTGTCCCAGTCCGAGGGACTGTTTATTGACATTGACTGGACTTTTTCTACAGACAGCCTCTTAGAGATTCAATTTTAAAATGGTTTAAGATAGGTGAAATTAATTCCACAGTGGTTATTCAGGTAATCAGCCTTGGGACTTAGCCAGAGGTACAAATACAGATTCCAGCAGGAGTTTTCCTTCAATTTTGTTTGCAGATAAGGACCATCCATCCATAGATCCTATGGGAAGATGAACAAATGAGAAAAATAATAGTAGAATCTGATTAGTTTATGCTGAGACTTCAATGCAGAAGGAAGGGAAGATACGAGGCTCTCTCCAGATCAGATGTTACTGCACTCATTTGTTAACGTGCGTCCTTGAATGGAATTAATGAAACCTTTCATTATAGATCAATATGCTCTTTGACTAGAGAATATTATGGGTACCTATTGTATATGCTTAATTAGATTGAAATTGCTTTCACATTTCCTTTATATTCAAAAAAATCTGATCTCAGCAGTTTAAAAAAGGGAATTACAGAAGTCATCCCCTCTGCCATGTGCTGGAATCAGCAAGAGAAGGGGAAAAGGGAAAAGCTCCTCCGCCAGCTCTCAGGTCTCAGCTTGGTGTCAGTTATGGAAGAGCTCGCTTGGACTGCCCTGTGCCCATGACAAAACCAAATGGTAATTCTTTACCATCACCAGGAGATTGACTGGTGTCCATTGAAGGCAACATGTTTGGACTGGGTCTATAAAATCAATTTGGGGACATACTTGTATTTTCTGTCCAAAACCAATTTCTTGACAAGACTGTTGTCAAATTAATGCGCACCACCCTCCTTCCTCATCCACATCTCCCTAAAGACATTCTCAAACAATCCTTTGCATGTTTCATTTCTTGATGGCCTTTTATTGCTCCTTGAATTCTCTCTCAAAACCCAGTCTTAGAATGTGTTATCTTAGTCCCATAGCCCTATTCCTACAAAAATAAAGCCCTTAGACCTTCAGTACTATTCACTCTGCTGTGCTGTTACCTCGTGCTTTCAGCTCAATCCCTGGGGTGTTTCTGTGTTTGCTCAGGGCTGTCCCAACCGGGGCCCTTGTTTCTCACCCTCATGGCCCCTGGGGCTGTGTCTGTGCTCCAGCCTCATCCTCCATGCTCATGCACACCCAGGCCTGTCCCTGAGCCTTTCTGAGCTCAAATGGCAACTCTCAACCACGCTCTGAAGCACTTTGTGTCCTTAATTCTCCAATCCCTGCTCTGCAGCCAGAAGGCTCTTGCTGCTTGCCCCAGGCTTCCATGGGCTGGGTTGGGGTTATTTACCCTGGAGAAAAGGAGGCTTCCTCTCCTTAGAGCTCTCTACAATTCCCTGACAGGAGGCCGTGGCCTTTCAAGTAACAAGAAACGGGACAAGGGAAAATGGCCTCAGGCTGCACCAAGGGAGGTTTAGATCGGCTATTAGAGAAAATTTCTTCACTGAAAGGTTTGTCCAGGGAAGTGGTGACTCAAAGACTTGCAGATGTGGCACTTGGGGACAGGGTTTAGTGGTAGATTTGGCAGTGGTGGGAGAGCAGTTGGACTTGATGATCTTACAGGGCTTTTCCAACCTAAACAATTTTATGACTTAGTGTTCCACTGTGCTACGTTCAGTGTCCCTCAGCCTCCTAAGGATGCATTGTTTATCAGCTTTCCTCCTTCCAAATTCTTTGTTTGTACAGTGGCAGCTTTTCTGCCAATTTTTTTTCCCCCTTTTGCCTGGAGTTATTGGCAGAGCTAATTAACCACAGAATATAAAAGCCTTGTTCTCCATGGCCGGGTGGTGCTGTGCCAGAGCAGAACCACTGCTGCCTTGGGGAATGAAGAGAGGGATGGGCTGCCTGAGGATGGGCAGAATGTCTTCACAAAGAGGTACCAGGTTTATTCCAGCAGTGAATGCAGCTCTCATCCTGGAGGAGCCACGTGTTGCATCCTTCCTTGCCCTGCTCCACAGCCGCATGGGTGGCACGGGCTGTGCTCACAGGCTGGCACGGGTGGGGCACGCTGGATGCTCGTGGATCAGAGGGGATTTGCAGGCTCACCTGTGCCAGTGTGGGCGTGGGGGGAGGGCTGTGAGCTGCCTCTGGGTGTGGATGGGTGCACGGGCTCGGGGTGCTGCTCCCTGCGAGCTCAGCCACACCCGGGAATCACTGCAGGTGAGGAGAACGGGGAGTGGGAGAGGGGCAGCCATGGGGCAGGCCTGGTTGAGAAGGAAAGGGTCCCCCCTCCAGATCCAGGCTTGGCCTCAGCCTCTGGCTGTGAGCTGTAGGAGACCAAGATTTTTCCACATGCAGAAATGCTTGAGGAACTTTTTTTTTGTCTTTTTTTTTTTTTTTTTTTTTGGTCTTTTTTTTATTCCTGGACAAATGTCTTCTCCTGACAGGAAACATGACTGGATTGAGTATAAAATGCTGGCGCTGTCCCTGCCCACCCGAGCCCCGTGTCCGCGTCCCCACACGCGGAGCTCCGGCGGCCGGGGTTGGCCCTGGGCAGCGCGCAGAGAGGCGACAGCGAGGGGACACAGGGACAGGGCAGCAGCCGCGGCATGGGCGGGGGTCCCCGGCCCCCCGCAGCCCTGCCCGTGGGTGCCCGCGTGACCGAGAGGGTGCGGAACGGCCCGTGGGGAGGGGACACCCTCGGGGGCAGGGACGGGCTGCCCTGGGCTCCTTCCCCGCTGCTCGGCGCCTCCAGCCCCCGCCGGTCCCCGCGGGCAGCAGCGGAGCGGGGCCCTGCGGGAGGGCAGGGCCGGGGGCTGCGCTCCCCATGGGCTGGGGGAAGGGACAGGAAAATCGAGACGAAGCAACAGCCTCCAGCTTTTCCCTTCCTCTAATCTTGCTTCACTCCCCTTGCTCCCTCTCCCTCCCTCTCCCCTTTCCCCTCCCTCCCTCTTTCTAATTCCTGCCACTAGCTCGGAGCCTCATTCAGCAGCCGCTGCCGCTGGAGTGTAATAGGCTGAAGATGCTGCCGAGCTCGCTCCGCGGCCACTTGTGAATGGGACTTGCCCGGTGTCCCCGCTCCGCAGGCGGCCGAGGGACGCGGCCAGCCCCGCAGGTGAGCGGGGGAGCGGCGGGGGCAGAGCGGGGAGCGGGGCAGCCCCGCCGGGGAAGGCACCGCGCGGGGAAGGGCAGGGAAGCGGCGGGGCTGAGCGTGTGGGCAGCTCACGGAAAGGAACGGAACGGAACGGAACGGGGGGATGGATGCTCCGGGCCCCCGAAGTTGGCGGCGCCGGGCAGGTGTGCGGAGCCGAGCGGGGCCGGGCGCGGTGCGGGCGCTGCGGCGGCCGCGGGGCCCCGGGGCGCGCTCGGCTCTCCGGAGGGAGAAGGAAAACGCTCTGGCAGACGCTGCTTTATTTCTTTTTTTTTTCCTCCCTTCAGTTCTTGCTCGGGGGCGGGGAGGGGGAGGGAGAGCGTTTGGACGTTTTAAAATGTTCCTCCGGAGAAGCAGATGCCGAAAGCCCCGAACTGAAATTTTTTTACTTGCGCCGGAGCTCCCAGGCACGAAATGGATATGCAGGAATTAGGAGTGCATAAAATGAAGGATATTCTAGCCAGAATGAAAAGGGCAAAGACTTTGATTTATACCCTTTCTCTCCTCCCCCCCCCCCTTTATTTATTTATTGAATTATTTTGCTGGCTTTCAAATGCATTACTATTCACAAGGTACCAAAATGGTATCTGTCTCTAACACGGGCTAGTCCAAAAAGCATTAGACTCCTGGGTGATGCATGCATAAGCACATCCCCAAGGAAGGTAAAATAGATCAGGCTGCGGGTCCCCATAAATACCATTAAGTTCAGAATAAAAGTGCTTCCTGTGCAGCCCTTCGGGAGCACATATAGCAGTCTGACATCATGATACAAGTGCCTTCACCTCCTATAGAAGTCCCCCTTTATTGTCTACTTTTTAAATATTCATTTGGTGAGGAGAGAACCAGTATATGCTGGGAGAGCTTCTTTGTACCGCTGCTACAGAGTGGCTGTGTAACACAGTATTTACCTACCCAGATATCTGTGACAAAGGAACCTCTTTAGCAAATGAGGTCACTAATTCAGAAATTGGCCCTTTATGAGGAGAATGCTCACTTCTTTTTCACGTTCCAATTACTAGCAAGTCTCTAGGAAAGACTTTCTTCCTGTTGATTTGTGATGGTGATACGATAAGGTTTTCACAGACTCCGTGCCTCTCTATTAAGAAATTCAATGTTTTGAATTATTTAATAATGGAACTGTTGAATAAGAGAGGCAGTGCGGGCTCAGGGGCAGGGAAGCACGCATTCAGGCGCTGCTGCATGTCCGTCTCCTTCCCCCCCCTTGCTCTTCCGTCTGCCTCGGTGTTTCCAAAGTCTCTGTGGTTCTCTAGGTAAATACTTTGTTCTCCTTTTCCACGCTGGCTAAGGAATCCCAATGAATAAATTGCCTTTCAGTGCAGGAGTCCTGCAATAATTAACGTGACATCAGCCTCAGCCAGGTCTGTCCGCCGAGGTTTGGAACACAAATCGATGCTTGTGCTCGGTCCTTGGGCTGGCTTTATAGACAGAGATGTGTGAGTCCATGGCAGGGGAACTGCAGATGTTTGCTCGGGAGCAGCAGATCCCTGGCAGGGCTGCACGGTTCCCGTGGCCAGGAGAGGGGCAGGGAGAGCAGGGGAAATGGGGAGCAGGAGGTCTGGTCTGAGCTTCGTGCCTCAACACACCAGGCGTTCTTGGAGCAGGTTTCTGAGTCTAGAAAAGTCTGTGCTCTAGAAAACAGAAGTTCCTGGCTGCAGTCCAAAAGCAGTTCTCCTGCCTCTTGCAGACGAAAATAAAAGTTACAGGACTAAGAACAAGATATTCAGTAAAAGAATTGGAAATCCTTTAGGAAAATTTTACCCAAAGGACATCTTTCTTTGGCATGCTCTTGTTCTTAGGCCCTGAAATAGGATTTTTTTTTTTTCACCTCAGTCTTGCACATCAGAGAATGAGCATGGACAGACAATGCTATTTATAGGTTTCTCCACATCAGCTTTAACTTTACTACAATTGTAAGTGTTGCCTGTCCAAAGAAATCAGTAGGAACTAGATTACTTCATTAGCAGAAATGCTGCTACGATAGGGCATGCCAGGGGATAAGTCATTGCAATTTATCAGCAGCAGTTTCAGAGGAAAATATGTATAGAAATGGTTGATTGAGAGATAGGGCAGCTAAATTAATTTTTCTTCTGCATAAAAATATGGGGAAAATGCAAAGATTGGAGTGATTTCTGTGATTTATCTGATAAAATGATTTAAAGTGTATAATGTGATTTCAGCTTCAATTAATATGCAATTCTGACAACATCTGACATATTTAATTTAGTGTAAGAAACATATGTGAAGTTCAGAGTTACAGTAGACTGAGACTAGCATTCTTATTTTCTGCAACTGCCCTAACATAACAGCATAACTTGACAAACAAATCTTTGAGTGATGAGAATTCCATAATAGAAGCTATTTATATCTCAGACATCATAGAAATTTCAAATAATCTCACACCTAAAATTGGCATATCTTCTTTTTGGTGAACCCCCTAACTGAATTTTGAAGCCATTTTGTGAGCTGGATGTTTAGCAAAATATCTTCAGTGTGTGAGAAGCAGACGTCTCATCTGGAATCAATTAATTTGAAACAGTTTAGCAACATACTTCCTGGACTTTGTGTGTGCGTCTGAGTTTTTCTACCAACATTTTAAGCTAAAATCTCTGTACAATTTCCTATGCTATAACCATTTTAATGTTTTTAATAGCACTTCAGCTTTCATTGTTTCTTTGTTGGGACCAATCCAAGGCCAGGGGACAGAAATGACATGGTGGCCATTGATTTAAATGGAGATTGGGTCGGGGGCTTTGTCTGGGTGAACTAAGAGGACTTTATGGTCATTTTATGCCATCTGTATCTCTGTACATCTCTGTACGTTATCTCTTACCCGTCGAGGAGCACTGTACCCCTCTGCTTTGATACATGCTGGACATCGAGTAAAACCCTTTTATAGTATTTTAGGAGCAAATGTGGCGGCCCCTATGTGTCGGGTTTTGACGCTGAGGACTCCGACCGTGAGGGGTCCGCGATCCCCGCGCAGGGAGGGCTCGGATCGCTCCGGCCGCTCCGCGGGCGGGCGCCAGGGGGCAGTGCTGCGCCTTCCGAGCCGCTCCGAGCCGGGATGGACCCTCCGCGTGTGCCCGGGGCTGCTCCCGCACCGGGAATGTCCCGCGGGATGCGGGGATGGACCCTCCGCGTGTGCCCGGGGCTGCTCCCGGTTCTGCTCCCGCACCGGGAATATCCCGCGGGATGCGGGGATGGAACCTCCGCGTGTGCCCGGGGCTGTTCCCGGTTCTGTTCCCGGTTCTGCTCCCGCACCGAGAATATCCCGCGGGATGCGGGGCCGGACCCTCCGTGTGTTCCCGGGGCTGTTCCCGGTTCTGTTCCCGGTTCTGCTCCCGCACCGGGAATATCCCGCGGGATGCGGGGCCGGACCCTCCGTGTGTGCCCGGGGCTGTTCCCGGTTCTGCTCCCGCACCGGGAGCGTCCCGCGGGGTCACGGCCGCGCTCCCCGGGCTTTCACAGCTCTCCAGCCGCTGACCGCCTCAGCTGCGGCCGCGCGGCCCCGTCTTGGCTCTGGCGGAGGAGTTTTGGGATGCTGGAAGTGCCGCTTGTCGGCAGACAAGCTGACTCTACAGCTGGAGGCGGGACGTGGAATACGAGCGCGGGCCGCTCTCGGGAGGGTTTTTGCTGCTCTCTCGTCCCTTTTCAAAGGCAGGGTCGGTTCATACCATGTCAAGAGTTCAAAAGTGGAAAAAATGGTACAGCAAAACAAGATGTATTTCTTTTAGAGATGTTATCAGGTTTGAGAGATCTTATAAAGAAATCCTTGATAGGAGAAAAAATAATAATAAAAAAAGACATATTAAGCCAAATTGGACTAGTTTTATCGTTCACATCCAGGTCAGTGGAGCTTACAGCTGAAGGACTGAGAAAAGCAAATTGGTCCAAATCATTTCCATATATCCTGCAGCACCCAGATGTTACTACCCACAGAATCACAGAATGGTTTGGGTTGAAAGGGTCATTAAAGCTCATTTCCTTCTACCCCCTGCCATAGGGAGGGACACCTTACACTGTCCCAGGCTGCTCCAAAACCCATCCATGCTGGATGTTAACCAGCAGGGACATACATTATCATATAGATTTGGAATGGTTGCAGACATGGAAAGAGGCTTATTCCAGCTGCCTTCTTCTGATGCTCTTCTAAACGTCCCCTTTGGGGTGTTCCTACAAACTGGACCTTTGATTTGACTCAGACCAACTACATTGCTTTGTGGAAGAAGGATATACCATAAATACCCGTACAGAACTCTACAAAATCGCAGGACATCCACTAGATGCAGCCAGAGAAGTTCATTAATGCACCTAATCCAAATTCTTGCCTACAACAAAGCCAGGCAGTGCCATGATAGCTGTACAGCTTTCTGTCAGTGGCCTGAGAGAGACTATTAATTAAGAATTATCTTGGAGAAACAACCCTTGGTGAGAGCATCAGTGGCTCCTGCACAGGAGGGCACATTTCCTGTCAGGAGCCCTCTCAGTGCCCATCCTCTGTGCTGCAGGGCCGGGAACAGCCCTTCAGCTGCTCCTTGTGCTCAGGCTGGCAGGGAAACTTCAGCTGCCAGTGCTGCTCAAGGCCCTCACGGGAACATCCCGCACGGCAGGGACAGCAGCAGCGGGGACAGGGACAGGAGCAGGGACAGCAGAGGGGACAGGGACAGCAGCAGCGGGGACAGGGACAGGAGCAGGGACAGCAGAGGGGACAGGGACAGCAGCAGAGGGGACAGGGACAGCAGCAGCGGGGACAGGGACGGGGACAGGGACAGCAGCAGGCGCAGCAACGGGGAGAGGGACAGGAGCAGGGACAGCAGTGGGGACAGGGACAGCAGCAGGGACAGCAGCAGCAGCAGGGACAGGGACAGCAGCAGTGGGGACAGCAGCGGGGACAGGGACAGGAGCAGGGACAGCAGAGGGGACAGGGACAGCAGCAGCAGCAG